CCTTTTGCGTTAGAAACCGATCGAGTGACAAATAAAACATTTCATAATTTTGTATGTATAATAGAGCCCATACTATTAAGTTGTTTGGCCAAAATGAAACGTGGCCTTTGATAACACTAGTTTACAATCTATTTGAACTTTGTACGCTGATGGTCATTTTCCATGTAAAATCGTGCGCTGAATCCAAACATGTAGTCTAAAAAATCTCAGTAGAATAGTTTTTGAAATATAGCTAAAAAATGAAATGAAATTTCAAAAAAATTTGTTTATTAAAATACAAATATCTCCAAATGCAGGGCATTTGTATACTACTACATGGCATTTCAAGCTTATTGCTTATAGCATATTAGATTTTGCCTGCTCCCAACTTAGTGTCCTTTGAAGTACTTTCACATTTTAATTGAGAGCTTTATATGCCTGTACCATCCTATGCCCAAGGAAGTAGAGAAATTTTCCAACCCGAAAAATTAATAGACCGGACGGGAATCGAACTCAGTCGCCTCCAGCATGGACTTGCTTTGTAGCTGCATCTTTACCGACTGAGCTAAAGTATCATCTTCAGCTATTTATGTATAGTATAACTTCTGAGTAAATAGTGAACATAATAAATCACCCATTATGAGATTCTATTGAATAATACCGGCCTACATTTGATGAAACATTATTATAATAAAATTAATGCATTTTCATTTGAATGCAAATTTTCTTGAAAATTAACCTTTGCGTCTCTGACGTATTTTTCTGTCCTAAATGTTGCAGTTAATTTAGCTCTATAATCGAGAAATTACCAGAGTTTCATAGGTCATACTTGTTGGTCACGTCGCGGTTGTGAATTTACACGGATATTCCTTGGGTTCTGTCCAATGGTGAAACATTTTCATGATATTTTTTTTTTATCTTAAATATGAACCTAGCACTTTTCGTTGTCAAATCATAACCGAATCGTATATATGTTACTTTGTGGATCATGCACGACTTATTACTATGTATACCGGAAATTATAGGTTTTCCAAATCGACCAGGACATCTGTTGATTTGTTTTACTAGATCAACCAAGACTGCAATAATGTCTGTAGTATCGAAAAATGTCCAATCAGATTCAAAGTGTCTATATTGATCATGCATGATCTATTTCCGAGTAATCCAGATGTTCAAGGTTCTTCAAATCGTCCAGGAGTTCAGATAATTTGATTTACTAGATCAACCGAGATTGGGACAATGTCTTTAGTATCGAAATATTTCCAGACAGATGCACAGTGTCTATGTGGATCATGTTTAATTATTTCCACGTATACCAGATGATCTAGGTAATCCAAATCGTCCTGCAGTTCAGATGATTAATTTTAACGGGTAACCTAAATATCCGGTATACATGGCAATTACTCGCATAGAAACGATTCGTTTATGACAACGAAAAAAAAATGTTCATATTGGAAAAAAGGATAATGTCTCAAATTTGATAGGAATTTCCGTGTAAATCCGGTGTGACTTATGGAATTGAGATCATTTCTCGATTATTTGCAGTGTTTGGTTTGAACCGGTAAAAATTTAAGAGCCAAATGAACAACAAAACAATCTGGGATGGAAAGATTACATTGAATTCCACAATTTTTGTGACAGCACATCAGTCCATTTGCGATTTTCGCGACATCTTTTAATGTTTCCGCGATTTTCGCGACTGAAAGTTCAAATCCGCAACAATCGCGAAATCCGCGAAATTCGCAAAATCCGCACCTGTTGTAACAGCCCTGCAAATGTAATGAAGTTGTATTATTTATTTTAACGCCAAATTAAAGATGATAAAATTCGCTTTCGATCGTTTAAACCCATTTTTCAGTAAGATTAATGGTAAAACCACAACAAACATTTTTATTTACACTGTTTAAAAAGAAATTCAATTTTCTTAGAAAAATACAATATATAAAAAAATAAACAAACTATTAATTAACAACAATACCATCAATCTCTTTGACAATTGATCAAAAAAAAAATTTCTTACCATTAATTTTTGCGTTAAGATAATTGATGTAGTTTCATTAAAAGCGGAGATATTTGTATTCTAGTATACACACTTTTTTAAAGTGAATTTTCATTTTTAGCTGTATCTCGAAAACTATTCTACTGATTTTGACTACATTTTTGGATTCAGTGCATGATTTTACATGAGAATCACGGGTAAAAGATTTAAGTTCAATTTTATGTTTACTTTTTTTGTAAACTAGTGTAATCGCTGCCATAAAAGATGTAGTCGCAATCATAGGTTTGAATTCAACGCATGTTTCTGTAGCGGTGCCAGTGGTGTAGTGGTAAGCGTGATAACATCTCACCCCAAAAGGCCTGGGTTCAGTCCCAGTCGGTGCCACCGGGATTTTCTGATACATACAACCTTTGATCATGCCTTCCTTCGGAAACCATTGGTCCCCGGTCCATGAGTTGATGGGTCGATAGGGGTAGGGTCCAGGTGTGGGAGCTGGCTCCCTGGCGTCGGTAGCATTGGTACTCAGTACGGAAAACAAGATCGACGGAGAACAAATAAAAAAAAAAAATCAAAAAAAAATGTAATGTATCTCAATCGAAATTCTTAAACATTTTTCGAAACTGGTTCTAGGTATCCAGATATGGTTATACCGTTATACTGTTCACCTGATAGATTTACCTTTTGAATTTAGTTATGACTTTTTTTTACAAGGCATTAACAATTAATCCTCCTATGTATGTATTTACACATTTTCCGCTTATTCTGTCTATATGTTGCACATACACCACCTTACACACCAAAGGGTTGCTCTAAAGGGTGTCCACGATGAAATTGCCACACTATGAAATTGCTCTAACTTTTTAACCGTTGGGTAGAATTTAATGAAAATTTGGGTGGATTTAGTTCATAGAGCATTATTTAAAGTCCTGTGATCAAAACTCGCGGAAATGGAGTCGAAAGAACAGCTCGTGCGTGATAAAATTTTGCGCATTCATCACGAGAACAAGGATCTCTCGCATCGTTCCATCGCTAAAACGTTGGGAATCGCGAATTCCACGGTGTCGCGAGTGATTAAGCGGTTCGAGGAACGGTTGACCACCGATCGGAAGCCCAGAAGTGAAGGAAAAAGTATTCCGTACAACACCAAAAATCACAACCGCGTAGTTGGGGCCTTCAACCGAAATCCGAACGCCTCCGTTAGGGATGTGGCTAAAAAGCTGCACCTAAGCCGAAGTTTTGTCCAAAAGGCCAAAACTAAGGCTGGGCTTCGAACGTTCAAGGTACAAAAGGCCCCTAATCGCGACGAGAAGCAGAACAAGTCCGCCAAAACCCGTGCCAGGAAGTTGTACCTCAACATGCTGACGAAAGTTGAATACTGCATCATGGACGACGAAACATATGTGAAGGCCGACTTCAAACAGATCCCCGGCAACCTGTTTTTCACGGCCAAGGATAAGTTCAGCGTTCCGGAGCATGTCCGCACTCAGAAGATGTCCAAATTTGCGAAGAAATTCCTGGTTTGGCAAGCCATCTGCACGTGCGGGAAGCGGAGTGCACCTTTCGTGACCCAGGACACGATGAACGGACAGGTGTACATAAAAGAGTGCCTCCAGAAGCGGCTGCTTCCTCTCCTGAAGGCCCACAACGTCCCAACAATCTTCTGGCCGGATTTGGCCTCATGCCACTACTCCAAGGACGTGCTGAAGTGGTATACGGACAATAAGGTCAATTTCGTGCCGAAAATGTTCAACCCTCCCAACACTCCGGAGCTCCGCCCTATCGAGAAGTACTGGGCGATTATGAAGCAGCACCTTCTTAAACGACCTAAGGTAGTGAAGACAGTCGAGGAACTGAAGAAAGTATGGGTTTACATGCAAAAAACGGTTGATTCACAGGTTGTGCACAATCTTATGGCCGGGGTTAAGGCCAAGGTGCGGGCATTTGCGTATGGACTGTAAATAAAATACGAGTAAAATGGTAAAATGAAGTTTAATCGTTATTTCTCAATCCCTGAAAATTTGATGGCAATCGGATGAAAACTCGAATTTTGCGAATCAATTTTGTGTGTGGCAATTTCATCGTGGACACCCTTTAGCATCTCTAAACATATAAGCCTAGAATGGGAACCAACATTAATCTAACTGCTTTAAATGTGTCGTTATTCCCGTGCCCATGATAGGCTTATTTGTTGTTGAAACATTACACTTGTAGAACTCAGCATTATAATTAAAAATATATTCAAAATAAAAAACAACTGAAATGCTAACGGTGCTGTTACTTCATCCATGACCGAGCCTTTATTCTTACCACTTTACATCCCATTGATGCTAGCTAGAGCTTGTGCGCGTCAACTCTACACGAGAGAGCGACCTTGAAGAACGACGAAGAAATAATGAGTGGAAACTAGTTGGTAGCGACTAGCAAGGTAAATGCCCAATAATTGCCGGCATAAATAAATGAATACCGTCGTACTTATATCCGGTATAAAAAATCCTTAATTGTACTACAGGAACTTGCACGTTGTGTCCACCCCATTAGTGATCAACAGTAGGGTACTATACCCTTGAGCTTATTGTACGCTGCATAGCAAAAGACCTAGAAGGTGAGTGTGCAGCTCGCTTATAACTGAGGTTGCAGTCTCTCGCGCAGGGCCAATGCATCAACCCGCGAGATTGTGCAATAGTCGTATAATTGAAACCAAATAAGCCAGCAAGGTACGTACCTAGTCTTGGCGTTTGCATTGCATTGTGGGGTATACGCGCAGCACTCTACCTTTCCGCACTTGTCTATACATAACTACCCAACTATACATACAGTAAAATCATTGCGATCTTTACTTAGAGTCAAGCCACATTTTCTGAGAGCGGATCTTAGGCGAGAGCGAGCTGAACCTTCAACTACATTGCCATCATATTGGGAGCCGCTCGAAAAGCTCCAAAACACAGCCCAAGAGTTTTTAAAACCTCTATAATAAAAAAAATAATAATAATAACAGCCCAAGAGTCAACACACGTTCGGTGAGGCTTAAGCCGCAGCTGATGGTTTCAGTCTCTGTTAGCACCTTGGAGCGGTCCAGTGTAGAGAGAGAAGCCTCAGCATGCCGCTGCTGAAGAGGAATATTACCGACACAAGTTTCATCATCAGTATCGAAAGTGGTGTCGAAGATATCCAGGAGGAAAAGGTTCGAATATCTCGTGTTTGTCAAATTGTTCTGGATCGATTGTTTTATCCATTTGCACACTGGATTTATACCATGCCTGTACCTAATTGAACGAGACATTATATCGTAGTTTACTTACTGAAAGCAGAAAAACGTGATCGAGAAGCTGAAATTAAATCGAACTGATGAGCCGTTTGCGATGTAGAAGCGATGCATTTTCGCAAGCTCATGATCATTTTGAAGGATATCTTGATTAAGATTTCACATCACTTGCAACTGTCAACCTAGTGGTTTCGTGCTATGAAGTATCGGTAACGTGTGAATTGCTGTTGGTTAATATTTGTATGTGCATGTTTGATGTGCGTCATAATCCATGGCAGAATGGAAAATACCCTTTCGAATGAACTTGAAAATCAACTCGTGGTATAAACTTGCGTTCGGTTCTGTTTGGTTGTTTCCGGCTTCCTGGTCGTGTGTTTCTGTATTGTGAATGGTGGTTTGAATGAATATTCATATGGCAAAAAAAAGATATTCAAAATAAATGAGTGTGTCACCGGATTTTGTGCTATTCTGTGAAGCAGACGGAATCCTTGAACGCTAGAAGACAATTGGAACGATCTAAAAAACCTAAGAGCTATCAACCTAGCTGCCAATATGTGTTGATCGTTTTGATTAATGGTTTAATGAAGAACCCACATTGTCCCATTTATATTGCCAAAGCGGTTGGAAAATGTTTTTCTTTAATTGGGTGCGTCAATTTTAAAACTCCCTGCTCCCCAATGCTCTTTTGATTCTTTTTATGGTCTCTTTTACCGATTAATGTAAATCAATATCTTCTAAATATCACGCAATATCAACGAATTTTCCATAAAATCAGCCCTTTTCAAATGTTAATTACTCAGCACGGGGCAAATACACACACATTTTCAAGTTAGCATTTGAAAGGACACAACTTGAAGTAAAATATATGAAAACATGAGAGATATTTAGGAACAATGGCCGGCTTTGGCCGCGAAATGCCGCGACATTTGTTGAAAATTACAAAAGTAAATAAATAACTCTTTTCTTGAAGCAACATACAAGGCAATGTTTTTTTTTATGATGATGAAGTTTATTGAGTCTGATTTTAGCTATTCTATCATCATTATCATTATATCATTAATATTTTTCGATGTCAAATTGACAAAACAATGCATGTGTCATTTTGGGAAGTAGCGCGTACCAAAAAGTGATGTGAAAAAGGAAAAGGAAAAAGGAAATGTTAATTGCACTCCTTGTTTTTGAACAAATCTATGATAAACTACAGTGCTTTGAATATGCGACATTATGAAACCGTTCACGTTGTGGTTTTTTGATCAATGAACCACTCTGTCAATCAGTTTAAAATTTCATTTACTGTCACTCGCAGTTTGATTTTTTTAATCTAGAACATCGAGACATGTTTTGGCCATTAGTACAAATGCAGTTGCGTTTCGGTTTTATCATGGTTTTTCACATTCCGTTTGTATCACTCTCGGTTTTATCGAAAAAAAAAAGTGTTTCGCATATATATTATCACGTTTTTTTTTTCAGAATTGAATCATTAAAATTAATTAATTTAGCTTTATTTAGGAGGCTTTCAGCCTTAGGCTGGTTCGCCTTCAAAATCATTAAAATGAAAACATATATTTATCATTGATTTTTCAAACCACATATGGAAATTAAAAAAATATATTACCAATACATTTTTTTAGCGAAAATTCAGGATCATTAATTGGTATTAAACACAATTGGCAAATCAAAGTTGGCACTAGTGGAGAATAGAAAAGCTATGAGAGTGATGATGGTTTTTAAAATTTTACACGGTGAGGTATACGAGTGCAATCTTAAAATGCTTTTATTTTGCAAATGGAGCATTTTATTTAAATCTGGTTAATGCTACGTTAGTACGTTAAGGACTACTCAATAGACATAAAATATAGAAAAAAAAATTATTTTCAGATTTTTAGATGTATACATAGATTTTAGCTTTTCTACAACTGTAGCAGCAACCAGATTTAAACAAAATGCTCCAATAGCAAATTAAAAGCATTTTAAGATTGCACTCGTTTGCCTCCCGGAGGAAAATTTTGAAATCATCACTCTCATAGTTCTTCTATTCTCAACTAGTGCCAACTTTGATTTGCCAATAAAGCGCTTTGAAATTTCGAATGTTACATAGAACTGGTTTGAGAGCTATTTGAGTGGGAAAACTCAAAGGTCGGTTTTTAGTGTTTTTATTCCTCAACCCGCATGGAATAACTTTGGTATACTTCAGGGAAGTGTATTAGGGTTTCTTTTATTTAATACTAGCTGAGTGCGCACGGCCTTGTTCGGGATTCAATATTAGCTTGAGTTTATGCGCCGATTCAAAAAAGCATGCTATATTTTTCTGTTTCATTTTTATGCGAGACCCCCCACCCCTTACAGAGAGGGGTGGGGTCTCAAACCATCATAAGAACCTTTCCTGGTCCCAAAAACTCCTGCATACAAATTTTCACGCCGATCGGTTCAGTTGTTGTTGAGTCTATAAGGGTCACACAGACAGACATACAGACATTCATTTATATATATATATATATATACATCTATATATATATATATATATAGATGTACATCAATGATAAGTAGCAGCGCTGGTGGTGTAGAGGTAAGCGTGATTGCCTCTCATCCCAAAAGGACTGGGTTCAATCCCAGTCGGCGCCGCCGGGATTTTCTGAGGCACAAAATCTCTGATCACGTCTTCCTTCGGAAGGAAAGTAAAGCCGTTGGTTCCCGGTCTATGAGTTGATGGGTCGATAGGTAGAGTCCAGGTATGGGAGCTGCCTCCCTGGCGCCGGTAGCATTGGTACTCAGTACGGAAAACAAGATCGATGGAAAAGAAATCAAAGAAAAAAAAATCAATGATAAGCATTGGCGTAGCTAACGGAGTGCCCTCCATAATTGTCTTCCAAGTAGCATTTTAAGTTTTATGAAGTACTACAAAGCTACTATAAAACAACATTCATAAAATCCTGGTCAAGGCTGCTTTGCCATTGATGCATCCACCAAAACCTCATTAGGACTACACACTTAGAAATAGCTAATTTTACACGGGACGGAATCCATCTTTGACATAAAAGATGAGACGTAAACAAACATGTCATGTAATATTAAGTGCTCCGAGACTGAAAAATTCGTTGCTCGACGAAGAGTACGTTTGATTGAGCTATATTTTGCGTCTTTTATGACTCAACATTATGTCAAAATTGACACTCGTATATGTCACTCTCAGAGCAACTAAATTTACATGATTTTTTCTAAGTGTGTAGAATCTGTCGAGTTGGCCCACCCTGAAGAACGTTCTGAATGATGTTTTCTCAAATCTCTTCAAGATTGATTGACTGCAAAAAAGTTGTATGACGAACGCATTGAGAACCATTTGAAAACCGAATCTAAGCTACAATAAAGGCTATTTGGCTACAATAAAAGCCTTGAGTCATTTTCCCTAGCCGCTTGCTAAATCCACTAGAAAAGCATCAATCAAGATAGAAAATGATTCATAAATACCATCCGACCTCAAAACAATTAAAATGAAAACTAATCGTATAAAATTCCTGTTGAATTTCCAAAGTAGTTTTCATAAAGTGGCCTAGTTTTAAGTTATGTTATGTTATGTTATGTTAAGTTTTGTTAAGTTATGATTTTCGCATTTGAAATATTTGTTCAGAGCTAAATTGACCAAAATAAAGTTATATCCAAGGAAACATAGATTGAAAATGGACTATAGTAAAAAAAAAACTAAAAAAATGATTGTAATATGGTGGAAGCATAAAAGTTGTTTTTCATGGGCCATTTGTTAAAAAGTTGTTTTGCTTTCAAGAAATCCCTAACAAATTCATAAGGTTTTAAAATGGCTTTTATGAAGAAAACTTGCAGACTGAATTGCTTAATCCTAACCCGTTCAGATTTATGGCAGCATTTATGGGGACAAATTTTCCTGCAAAAAGTTAAACGTCAAAGTTTGTTTAGCATTCAAAAGTTGCGCTGTGCGATCCAGCGTTCTTCCAGGCGATTTTCTCCCGATGGATTCGAAGCAGTTACTCAGAAAGTGTGCGATACTGTTTTACAGCATTCCGCATTTCGATCAGCTGGACGCTCAATCGTTCCCTAAAAATATCCCCTTCTTCCGGACGGTTCCCGAAGTGCTCGATGTACGCTTGAATGAAATTTTTTTAAGAGTTGAACCTTTCGGTACTGGCAATTTAAAAAGTCTTAAGCATCAAAATGTGATTTAAACTGAATAAATAAAGTGAAATATCGCAATTGAATCCGATTTGCTTCGATTCCGGGAGCTCACGGACTCCATTACCGACCTATATTCCACGCATGGGATTTTCTCCGGAAAATTAACCCAACCAATATATGCTCTAACATGTGGTCCACAAAACGAGTGTTGAGAGTTATTGTTTAGCGACCTGTTTGGAATAGGTTCTTTGGGTGCCTACGCCTATTAAATTCTCGACTTTTTACTGTACTAACCTTTGTGCTTTCCACTCTTCTAGCTTCAGAACTGAAGCATTAATCCAAAAACCTAACATAAAATTCCAGCACTAATTACACCTTCCTTTATTCGCAGAATCCTACACCGACCAACGAAGACTGTGATTTTCTGGTGAATTTCATCACCGGCGAAGAATCACTGTCAGCCAGCTTTTGCTGTAAGCTGTTTTACACAATATTCCGCCTCTGTTTCGTAGGCGAGGAGGGCGCCCGGTGGCAGACGGCGATGAAGAAACGATCCACATCTCGTACAATTTAAATATTTAACCGAAAACCGGACCCTCTGCAGCAGCTTCATAGCATCGCTGCACATCCACGTGCAGGAAGCGAAGGTCGGCGGTCGAGTCGAGACCGGCGCGTTAGCTAAGCAAACCAAAAAATCCATGAATGAGTGAACAGCGTGTGAGCTGATATTTTGTTAGTGAAATAGAAACCCTTTTATGTAGTGTTCGATAGTGCTGGTGTAAAAATCTCTCGGAGATGGTTGTTAACGGAAAAAAAAATCGTGAACTGGTTTTCGGTTTGAATAGATTTTCTGGATGAAGCTTATTGAGTAGGATTCATCTATTCCGATTTGCTGCTCGTGAACTGTAAAACAATAAATTGTAACTACTGACTTACTATATCGTCTAGCCAACAGAGCACTACTCGGATGCAATCATAGCCGTACTCATAACAATTGTAAATGCTTTATGATTGTTACATGCGAAAAAAGTACTGCAAGTGCGAATGATCAATACTGTGTAACATCGCATTTTTAAGTACCTTGTGAATAAATTTATTGAACCCCATGTATCAAACTGTTGTTTGCAATTCTTCTTTTGCACCCACAAGCACTCCACACAGTGGGGCGAAGCCGGTCGCAATTGATTTTTTTTTTCATGAATTACTATTTTTATAAGCGGCGCCGGTGGTGTAGTGGTAAGCGTGATTACCTCTCACCCCAGCAGGCCTGGGTTCAATCCCAGTCGGCGCCGCCGGGATGTTCTGAGGCATAACATCTCTGATCACGCCTTCCTTCAGAAGGGAAGTAAAGCCGTTGGTCCCCGGTTCAATAGGTAGGGTCCAGGTGTGGGAGCTGCCTCCCTGGCGTCGGTAGCATTGGTGCTCAGCACGGAAAACTAGATCGACGGAAAACAAATCAAGGAAAACAAAAATACTATTTATATCATTTTTCTTTCAGATGTTCAGATAGATTTTAGCCTCAACTGCAAAAAAATCAGGATAAAAACTGTACTCGAAAAAATCCAAAAATGATCATCAAAAATTCATTTTAAGTTGGATATTTATGAAACTCTCAGGGAATAAATAAACACATATGAGCTATGTTTTTGCAAAGTTGGTTTATTCAACCTCCTCTAAATGCCCGCACCTTGGGCTTAACGCTACCCATCAAATCCTGTGCAACACTTCCGCTATCGTTCTTACACACTTTCATCCACTCTTTCTTCAAATCCTTGTCGTTTTTGAAGACCTTTCATGTTTTCCAGAGCTTGCCCTTCATAATCCCTTGAATTTTTCTATTGGGCGAAGTTCAGGCTAGTTTGGCGGATTTGCCTCGTTCGGCACAAAAACAACATCGTTGGCTTCGTACCACTCCATCACCGGTTTTGCTTAATAGCACGATGCCAGATCCGGCCAAAACAGAGTGTCACCTACGTGGGACCGGAGAAAAGGGCAGCAAACGCATCTGGAGGCATTCTTCTTTATATATTTTGCCGTTGATAGTGCCAGTTGTTATGTACGGCTTGCTGAAATTGCCACACCCACAGATCACCTGCCATACTAAGTACTTCTTGGCAAATGTGTCGACCTTTTTCTAAAGAAATTCTCCGGAACTTGCCGACGAAAAACTCCAAGCCGGGGGTCTGCTTGGTGTCCGCTTTAATGTACGTCTCGTCGTCCATTACGATGCATTTCGGCTGCACCAACCACTCGCGGTACAGCTTCCTGGCGCGGGATTTGGCCACCGTATTCTGTTTATCGGATCGGTTAGGCACCTTCTTTACCTTGAAGACATGAAGTCCGGCCTGCTTCATTGTGTGCTGGACAAACCAAGAACCTTTACCTTCTTGGCCATGTCCCGAATCGAAAGGTTTAGATTATGCTTGAAGTAATCCCTGCCCTTCCTTGCGTTCACGGGGTCGGTCTTCTTCGCTTTTCTTCCGCTGCCAGATCGTCGATGGGTCGTCTGGGTCTCCTTGAACGATTTTACCACACGGGGCACGGGCGAATCAACAATAAATACGAAACTAACGATTTCAAATTGGCTCTCTACTTGACTAGCCTATTGGTCCCAAGCAATCGATTAACGTACCCCATTCTAGACAAAATTCTAGTACTACAAGGTTTGTTTAGATTCGCTATGAAAGTTTGACAGATAAAATGAGGGGTTAGTGGATTTTCCTATGTTTCGAGGGGTGAATCGATTAGCTTGGGACTGAAGAAAGTACCAGAGCTGAGCCAAAAAGTTGAGCACGTTTCTTCGGGACCTGCTAGTCTATGGTCAAATTGTCTCCGCTCCCATAATTTTTTGTCGAAGCACTTCTTGCTTGGAAGTCATCTCGATAACCACTTGACCAATTCCACGCCAAATCGGTCAGTCACCAAACTTGACTATCTTCGATCTGGATGATACTTGGCACATATTTTCAGTATGATAGACCAAGTATTTTCCGCAGGAGAGGAGACCCTTTTGACTCAAGGGTAATTTTTGAAAAGGGCCTATGTGTTTTTGCACACATACTTTAAAAAAAAAGTAGTTCGAAAACAGTTGGTTGTAGAAAAAAAATTACTAACATGGAGTTGTAGGAAACTAATAGGGCTTTATAAAAAAAAAAAAAAAACAAATAAACCTCAAAATTCAAATAACAAAACAACGTATTTTTGATTTATTTTTATATTTTTTTTTATAAAAACTTGAATAGAAAGCAGAAGTTTTGAAAACAACTCCAGGATGGACAAACTTTTAATAAAAAAGTTTTTCTAAGAGCAACTTTTAAGGCATTTTTGAAACTTTCATTATTTACGGCAAAATGTTCAGTTTGATGTCAGTATATGATTATAAAAATCATTTCAAACGATAGTCGATAGATCGATAAACTTCCTAAATGTAACCGTTTTCGAGATATTTCAAATTTACTTTCATCATAATCATTTTTTTGTAGAAAATATGCCCTTTCGTAAGTTATACGTAATTGTCCATCAAATATGATAAGTTTTGCAAGATATGCATGTACTTACCTTCAACTTACCGTTCAACCAATAGACTATTGGAAAATTGGTATTAAACTTATAAGATAAATAAGATAAATAAATTAAATACCCATGCGTTTTTATTTGCATCTTACATTTTTTACTTTCGATCGTCTTTAATAATATGTACATAAACCTTTTCGTTGGATATATTTTTATTTGATGAACTTTTGATTGGCATGTTTTACCCTTCTTACAAAGAACGGTATAGATATCACTTGAAAAACCGACTATCGATCCGAGGCCCGGAGGGCCGAGTGTCATATACCATTCGACTCAGATCGGATTCGACGAGATCGGAACATGTCTGTGTGTGTGTGTGTGTGTGTGTGTGTGTATGTGTGTATGTGTGTATGTGTGTGTGTATGTAACGAAATGAATGCGCTCACGTTTCTCAGCAACCGCTCAACCAATTTGGACAAACTCGGCGCCAAATGATAGGTCTTGGAGTCCCATTGAACGCTATTGAACGGTTTTGGAATCGCTGAACCGGTTCCGGAGATATGGCCGGAATAAGATCCGGTGAATATGGGCCTTCACGCTGGATTTAACGGAAAACGTATCAAAACCATCATGCGACGCATCAAATTACTACAGAATTCAAAAATAAGATCAATGCAAGTCGTGTTAAGTGTTCCAGACCACATTGGACACACTTGGACATGTTCCGGGTACCCCGGGGAAGTTGCTTGAATATGAATTGAATTAAAACCCATTAAATCACATTAAAATACGATGATAAGCTGATTGGTAGCCTCACCAAATAGACTACACCCGGATATATTCCGGGTACCCCCAGGCAGTGGCGTAGCGTCACTGGATGACACGGGGGTGGGGGGCTTGGTCACTGATAATGACAATAAAATAAATAAACTTGAATAAGTAAGAAGGGTCTGATCACACCATAGGTGGATAAATTCGGGTTTTTATATGTTATGAATGGTGCGTTCTTCGTCATTCGAAAATAGTTTCGCTGATATTTTCGCTGATATAATCGGAACAATACAGTGATATTTTCTTGTACCTGGGATCGTTTTGGCCTTTTCAAAACTGCTTTTCCATTCTGCAGCCCCCTGTTCGTACCGTGCCGATTCAAATTTCGGACACTTAAACTCGAATTTCGGACACTTTTAAAAGTTGATTATCTCGGTCGAATATGATCCACATGTCTTGTAAATTTTAAATTTTTTTGACTAGTGCCCTCCACGATCATCTAACATTATTACTTTGTTTCTAACTGGATGTAATATTTAATTAAAAATGAAAGTGTCCGAAATTTGAATCGTCCGAAATTTGAATCGGAACGGTATTCCTTTTGTGACACAAAACAAAATGACATTTTTGCTAAATAATCATTACTCTTCTGGTTAGCCCATGCGTATAACTCTGCTGCACTTGTGATTGGATGTTCGTGTTCTACAGCCACACTTGCGTTCCTTGCCATTCGTTTTAATGTGCCACCCATCGCGTCACATGGTCCCTTGCCATGCGAAGTTGCAAAAAAGTGCCATTCAACATCAATATTGTACTTCGTTTTAAATTTACAAAGACTTGCAAAATTTTTGCAATTTTTATATTGGGATGCAGCTCCATCAGACATAAACATCGCTTTTTTTACTTGTATTTTTGTTTGCAAAAAGGTCAGTAATTTTGAAATAAATACTTGCACCGCAATTGTATCGTGTTTTAAAACTTCAGAGATTACGATCAAACTTAAATTTTTAATTATACCTGATTCTGAATAATAAATGCAAAAAGTATGAATAGTAGCTTGTTGATTATTCCAGTAACTACTTTGGGCAGCATCTTGAAGAACAAATGCATAATTTTCGGAAAAATCACAAATTATGACAACTTCTCCATTTTTAAGAGTATTTTTTGTATTTCTCAAGAAACTAGACTGCTGAGTTTTAATATAATCATGGGATACCAGTTTTTCCAACTTTTCGCAAAAATAAGGAACAAATCCATCTACTGGTTTTACAAATTTCTCTTAACTACATCGATCAGTTGAAACCCATTGTTCAAAACATATTTCTGTTCCTCGAATTTTTCTGAAAAACTTCTTTTAAAATCTGAGAGACCTGGACAACGTTCGCATTCGCGGAGATAACAATGTTTAGTTCTGGATGATGAGCTGCATAATATTTCTTCAAAATAATGGTTGAAATCTTTTTCGAATGAATATTTTCTAAGACAAATTAATATTTTCATGGATGGTACAAACACAAATATTGTGAGAACCTCAACTACCAAGTAATTTGCAATGCTTTGGTTTTAGTGCTGCAAATGAACTAAATCCAAAGCTATTTTTACTAACTTCTTGAAATTTAATAAAAGCTTCTCGCAATGGACAAACTAAAAGTCGCTTTTGAATAGGAATCTTCTTACCTTCCTTCTTCACTGAAACGAAATCGTTTAGTCCTGGCGTGGCTCTGCTTATCTGGTCGCTTTCGAAGAACTGCAATACCTCGTTTTTAATGTCGGGATCCAAACCGTGTCCTAACCTTTCCTTGGGGGGTGGCCAATACTCCTTTCCCGTTTG